TAAAGCAGACACTGCAAAAGCTGCAACATAAGAAGCAATCTACTAATTTAGAAGAATTTGGAGAGAATATTTATCATGTATTGAATTAAACAAGAACAACCACAGCTTCCTTTTTTGCAGCGACGCTGATGAAGAGGCCTAGTTCTGTTGAGCCTCATATTCCTTCAGCTCTCAGTAGAAATAACTTCATGAGCTTTTTCATTAATGAAATTGTAACTATGAGAAAAGAATTTTGTCATGAAATACCTAATTTATGTCTAGACTACATCTCTCCTATGAATTTCCCTGAATCAACATCCTCTATACCATAGACATGTCTATTTAGACCCCAACCCAGCAAGACTATTTAATGGTGATCTAAGCTTGAAGTGTTTACTAACCCTGATCAATATCTCTTTTAAAGCCTATCTACTGAAGGTTTTTAAGACTGCTTTAGTAAAACCTCTACTTGATAAAGTCTATTTTTGATTCTTGTGTTTAGTCAACTATTGATCTACATTCAACCTTCCTTCATTTCTAAAATCCTTGAAAAAGCTACTACAAATCAGTTATGTGACAATTTGCACAGAAAAATGGTTTATTTTAATGTTTTTTGACAGGATTTCGAGTATTTTATTGCAGAGAAACGGCACGGGTTATAGCTTCAGAAAATGCAGGCATAAACTGACTGTGAATAGAGTGACTAGACTGAGAAATTGCAGGCAGTACTACAGGTAGTCTAAGATATCTTTATAATTTTTTTTTCCCCCCATGAGGATGTTAGTCTTCATTTTCTGCTGCAAAACTGTCTGATTGCACCTCTTTATCATTCTGCTATAGGGTAGAAAAGCTCTGGTTTGTTTTTATGTCTTTAAACCAATCAGTGGTCAGGGCTAAACCTGGGATGCATCAACAGTGCCCCCTCAGAATATTGACCTTAGAACTATTTTGTTGGTACAAATTGTCAAGTCAACATCCATTGAGCAAAAGTGCTTTCCAGAAGAGGAATAAGATTGTTATGAATTTAGTTTAGTTATGAATGAGTTTTAAAATTAAGATTAAAACCCTGCAGTTATTTTTGTATGAAAAATGTCAATAAAATGGATAACACCAAATAAACCAAGCAGGCCTGCCTTACTGCATGATCCAAATCCTCACTATACTTGAAATTTTCAGTGTGGTAGGTTGCTAGAGCATAGGTTGTTGTTTCTTATAGTGAAGGGGATTTTGAAAATGCTAGAGAGCATAAAAGAAGGAGTAAATCATGTTCAATGTGTTGCAGGCTTATACTCGCAATCTACATCTGGTTAGTCAGGTTATAAAGGCAGTGTCATATCGTCACATACCAGATGTGAATGAAGCAGAAAACAAGCATGTATGCAAATGAAGCATGGCAAACTGAATTCAAGTTAAATACTACTTAGTACACCTTTTAGTTAGCATTCATAGTTGTGTATAAGATAAAACTGGGGACAAATACTGTAATCCTTCATTACTTCATGATTACTGTTCCATTACTTAATACTTTACCAAATAAAGTCATTTTCTCTACTCAGTTGATGTAGCTGTTGCCATGAGTGCTGGAACTGCACTGATATTTCTAAATTAGGTTGTCTTTTCGTAGAACTTACATTTCATTTTGTGTAGAGGTTTCACAGTACTAAAGTACACTACTACTGCTGAGCAATATTTTTTAAAGTAAAATAGTCCAAATATTTACAGGTTGAGGTTACAGAAGCATCGTAAAAGTTTACAGGGGGTGTTGACATGATGTGATTTCTGCCCAGTGCTCTGAATGTCAAAGTGAAGAAATTCAATGAAGCGCGGGTGATGAGGTGTATGGCGCTGGTCATGGCGACACGCAGCAAGAGTGTGTGCGAGTGATTGTGGGAACTGCGGTTTTATCTGTGGTTTTATCTGTGGTTTTAACGCCCGTGTGTCGTCTTTTTAACACTTTTATACCGGAGTCATCATGGATTTAGTCAGTGTTTTTTTCCTGAACTTGGTCGCTCTTGGGACTGCCATCAACGTCCAGCAGAGCAACCGATCTGACAGGCTCAGATACAGCCGTGACTTTCTTATCAACTGCAGCAATTCAGGGGCAGTGATTTCACCTGATGGTATCCCGCCAGAGATCCGGAGGAATCGGGCTGGAGGCTCTCGTTCAGACCGGCTGACACCAGAAGCAGCGAGGCAAACAGCCCCTCACAGATCCAGAAGCCCTCGGCGGCAGCAGACTGCGGTTCGAACGAGGAAGCGTGGCCGGAGAGGAGGGGTGCGTCAGCGGCTGCGGAGACTAGGACTCCGCCGCTTACCGCTCCCCTCAATTATCCTTGGCAACG